CTCCGATGGAGGAGCGAGGAAGCCGCACGCGGGCACGGTCCATGGCGACAGCGACGCGCAGGATGCTAAACGGCTACTCTGGTGCTGGCGAGCTCTGCGGCGCCTGGCAGCCACGCCTTACATCTCACCAGCACAGAGCAGGGCGACCCAGCCTCTCCAGCAGCTACGCGCGAAGGCCAAGCGTCTTTATAAATAACACGGGCTCCTCTGTCCCTTATCAAAATGAAAACAAAAATAAATGTAACACATTCCAACGCAACCGAGACAAACAGCAGGAGCATCTTTATGAAAACAAAGCAGAGCTCTTAGCAGCGACAATCGTCCAGTGTCAGGCGCTGGGAGCAACTCGGGCTCCTGCCCTGCTTCCCATGAACTTGAGCTGCAAAGTCCTTTTCTCACAGGAGCCCAGGTCACCTGACTGTCCTGAGCTCTCACAGGAGCACACGCTTGCAGTTTATGGTGATGCACGATGCCTGCATGGGACCTTTACAGCTCAGAGGCCAGAAGCAATTCTAAAATTCTTTTTAAAAAGCTTATTGTTGGAAGTATTACCGATGTCCCCTCTGTCCCCCAATGACCCCTCTCTAGCCCACCCCACACCCACCACACGGTGTCTGTGTCCATGGGTTATGCCTACACCAGTGATGGCGAACCTATGACACCCGTGTCAGAGGTGACACGCGAACTCATTTTTTTGGTTGATTTTTCTTTGTTAAATGGCATTTAAATATATAAAATAAACATCAAAAATATAAGTCTTTGTTTTACTATGGTTGCAAATATCAAAAAATTTCTATATGTGACACGGCACCAGAGTCAAGTTAGGGTTTTTCAAAATGCTGACACGCCGAGCTCAAAAGGTTCGCCATCACTGGCCTACACCCATAAAGTCCTTTGGTTGATCTCCCCTCCACCCCCAACCCCCACCTTCCCTCAGAGATTCCAGCCTGTTCCAGCCTCCAGGTCTCTCGTTCTGAGATTGTAAAGTACGTGTAGCCTCTCTCTCGTTTACTCTCACAGGTGAGTGCTGGCTTCCGGTCCCCCTGGTAGCAGCCAGGAGGGACCCCCACACCTCCTCCCGCGCTCCCAAGGCTCAGCTCCAGCTCCTCAGAGCGCGGGCCTTTCCGGTAGCTGCTCATGAGAGCACACAGCCCCAGGTTAGACGGCCGCACGACACCCCAGGACAGCGGGAAGGGCCGCAGCGACGTCCGAGTGGGCGACGTCCGAGTGGCCCCCGTCTTGCCAAGGAAAGGCCGGCACCGACACCGAGCTCAGACCCCCCTCCTACCCGACACAGGCTGACACGCTTGCCCCGCTCCATCTCCCAGGCACGGACTCCACCCCAGGGGACAGGGGGGAGGCGGGTCACCCTCCCCGGAGGCCACACAGAGCGCGCGGGAGACACCCAGCCCAGGACGGCGAGGAGCAGAGGAGGGAAGGATCCACGGAGCCCACGCCTGAGCACAACATGACGGAACGCGGTGTCTCAACCTAACGGGGCCTGTGGTCAGGCCAGTTCCTCCTTTCCCGCTGTGCCGCGCCGCCTGCTGCCCACGGACACGCCACGCCCGCCGGTCCTCTCTCTACCTCCGGCACCAGCCTGAAGCGGGAGACCAGTGCTCTGGGCCGCCAACGGGGAGGGGCTGCCAGCGCGCTTCCCAAAGAAAAACAAGTGAAACACACGGATTTTGTTAGAAAATCACCACAGTATTTGACTTCCTCCTTTCCCGCTGTGCCGCGCCGCCTGCTGCCCACGGACACGCCACGCCCGCCGGTCCTCTCTCTACCTCCGGCACCAGCCTGAAGCGGGAGACCAGTGCTCTGGGCCGCCAACGGGGAGGGGCTGCCAGCGCGCTTCCCAAAGAAAAACAAGTGAAACACACGGATTTTGTTAGAAAATCACCACAGTGATAGACTGCGTGGGCCACATACAACCGTCTATTGGGAAGAACGGCTAGAACGCTATGAGAAGTTTCCAGAGAACACCACACGGCCCTGAAATAAAAACATTCCCGGCCGTGTTTGTCTTGGAGGCAAGCTCACACTGCTCGCCAAGAGTATTTTAAGAATCCCCCAAACTGCACTGGGACACTGGAGAAAGGGGGGACCACAGAGAGAGCCCGTCCTCTCGCACAGACGGGGGCTCCCCGAGGGGCGCGGTGGACGCTGCCACCTTGGCCCTGAAACTGCCTCCCGGGCC